TGACACGTCGTGCCATCGGGTACCTGCTGTCCAAGAACGGCACCGGCAACGCGGTGGCCATTGTCGTCGGCGGCGCGGCCGAGTCGCTCTCCTGCCATCCCGGCGTCACCACGCTCATCCTGAAGAACCGCAAGGGCTTCGTCCGCATGGCCCTGCAGCACGGGTGGGTCACGGGCACCGCTGCCGCTGCAGGGGTCCAGGGGTCCCGGCGCCCCGTTACCGCCCACCATGTCCCCCCTCCACAGGGCCCACCTCGTCCCCTCCTTCTCCTTTGGGGAGAATGACCTCTTCCACCAGGTGGTCTTTGAGGAGGGCAGCTGGATGAGGAGCATCCAGCACCGGTTCCAGAAGATGATGGGCTTCGCTCCCTGCATCTTCTACGGCCGGGGCCTCACCTCTGTCCGGTCCTGGGGCTTCCTCCCCTACGCCAGACCCATCACCACCGTGGGTGAGCATCTTCCACCGGGGCGGAGGAGACCCCCCAGAAGGTGGAGGGGTGGAGGGGGAGGACACCCCGTGATGGGGTGGCATTGGAAGGCAATACTTGTCTCATGTCCCCGATGAGCTGAGCGCGTCCCTGCCCCGCCGGCCTGACCTTCCTCCCCTCCCGGCAGCGGGGGAGCCGGTGATGGTGCCCAAGATTGAGGACCCGAGCTGCGAGATGGTGGACATGTACCACGAGATGTACGTCCGCTCCCTGCTCAAGCTCTTCGACGAGAACAAGACCAAGTATGGGCTGTCGGAGGCGGACGAGCTGCACATCCTCTGAGCACAGCTGGTGCCGGCGGCCAGATCCTGACTCACAAGGGCAGCTGGCTCTTGCGGGTGGGGATTTCAGCCAGCCCGGCACGGGGAACACGCCGGGGACGGTCCCCGCTCCGGCCCTCCGCTCCTCTGGCCGAAAAACCTGAGCAGTAGGTGGGAGGAGAGGAGGAAGCAAGGGGAGGGAGAGATTGGGAAAGGGTCCCCCTTGAAAGGGGTTCAGAGGGGCTGCTCGGGGCTGAGGGGGGGGGGGGCTGGCGCAAGGCTGGGGGCCAGCGATGGGCACAGTCCCCCCAAGACAACCAGGAGACCATGAGCTGAGGGAGGGGGTGTCACAGGAGGAGGGAATGAGACGGACTCTTTAGGGTGGCATCCCAATGGCGAGCAGGACCTGGGCTGGGGAGACACCTGCCTGGGGTGGGGGGGACACTCCTGGACTTGGGGACCTGTGGAAGTGGCCTCAGCTGGGACCACGGAGTGGGTGGGGGCTGGTGCTGCTCTGGCCCCAGATGAGCCTTTTCCACTGCCTCTGTACCCAATACAGATTTCCAACCCCCCCACCACTGCCTGTGTGTGCTGGGGGGGGGGCAGGACCGGGGGCGCTGCGGCTGTACCCCCATGCTCCCCCAGAGCAGGTGGACATGCCACCCGCCCGTGTCCCCTTCCTGGCAGTCCCATCTCCAGGGCTGGGGCCGTGCTTGGCAGGGACCCCTGCACCCTTCAGGTGCAACCGAGCAGCTCCTGGGTCCACCTGGGCCACGTCAGGTATAATGGGAAGTGAGGGGCAGCAGCTGCTCTTACTGGGTTAACTGGGCTTAGGAGGAACGTCTCCTCCTCTCTCTGCTTTTGGTTCAGCCGTAGTGAGGGGCTCTCTGGCTACCACTGTCCGGTGAGATGGGGATGCGGGGCTGGGATGTGGCATCCTTGGGGCCCTCTCCCTCCCCAGGTGACCTGGGCAGCTCCTGGTGGGATGTGCCCGAGTGTGGTCGGTGCCACGTGGCCACAACCACGGCTGAGGGAACACCCTGATGGTGGTATGGGCTTCCCTTCCCCAGGCACGTGCTGGCAGGACTCGTGCCATCATGGGGGGCGATGGGGGCAGCCCCTCCTGGGGCTCCCCATGGTGGGGACAGCCCAGTCCCATCCCTGCCCGGGCTGGCGTGGGAGAGTCAACAGCGCTGATAGTCATCTCTGGTCTGCTCCTCTCCGCACAGGCACTCAGTCAAACAAAAGGGCTGGGTAAACATTTGGAAAGCAAACACCCATAAAGGCAGATTCCCGAGGACTCTCCCGTCACCGCGGGTGTCACCGCTCTGGCCCCTCGCTCCGAACCTGCCCCGGCGCTAAGGTGGCGGGTGGCTTTTCTCTGCTCTCAAATGCTTTCTGGGGTGAGGGTGGGCATCTAGTCCTTCTTCCTTCTGCTACGGGGAGAAACAGGTCCGGGCATAGAGAAAGAGGAAAGGGCTTTATTGGGGGCTGACGGGCAGCAAGTGCCCTGTCCACACACCTCCCTGTCTCTCCCAAGGCCAGCAGTGTGACAGGGATACCTCTGAGAGCCTCCGCCAGGCACACGGGGCACCCAGCGTCGGCTCCGTCCCCAGGTTCAGTCCGGTCCCTGCACGTTGCTGTCGAGCAGACTGGAAGGGCTGTGCATGCCCGGGGGGGGGACCAGTGTCCCTTCTCTTTAGTGACCTGTCAGCCCCCCGCATGTCCCCAGGAGCATCCTGGGATGGGACGTGTGCTGTGGGCCAGCCTGCCATCCCAAAATGGCTTTCTCAGCATCCTTCCCATTCCTGTGGGAAGGTGGCTGTCCTGCCCCGAGCAGTACTGGCATCCTCTTCCCATGGCATCCCGGGGCAGGGCTGGGACAAGCCCCATGGCCACCCATCCTCAGCCCTGCGGTCTCTGCCCCAGCAGGGGCAGGTTTGGGGACCCAGGGGTGCCAGGGTGCCCACACGGAGCCCAGAGGGGCTGCGACTCATGGAGACCAGTGACAAGGTTACCGTAACCCCCCCATTGGCCCTTCAGCACCCGCCTCTGCTCCGTGCTGTCCCTTGGGTGTCTCTGGCAGTCTGGATGCCACCCGCGACATTGTCCGTGGAGGAGGATACCAGAGCCAGGTTGCACATGGGCATGGGCCGGAGCCGCTGCGCTGGCCCCCGGCGTAGCCGCCCCCGGTACTTGTCCCCAGCCATGAAGTACAAGATGGGGTCGAGGCAGCTGTTGATGCTGGCCAGGGGCCGCATGATCTTGTAGGTGAAGTTGATGATGTTGAGGGTCTGGCAGTCGGCTTGGAAGTAGCGGGAGGTGTAGTAGATGGTCCGGGTGATGTGGAAGGGCACAAAGCAGACGGCAAAGACGGTGAGCACGATGATGATCATCTTGATGGAGCGCTTCTTGTAGGAGGGCATTCGGGGGCAAGGGCTGGAGAAGCTGGACTTGCTGAGACTCTTGGCCATCAAGCAGTAGCACAGGACGATCACCAGGAAGGGGACCCCAAAGAGGAGGGCCATGATGGAGGAGCTGTAGTGCACGTAATGGTCAAACTCCTCGGGCTTGGTGGTGTCATGGCACAGGGTGCTGTTGCCCTTGGAGCTGGTGGTGACAAAGATGAGGTTGGGGATGAGGCAGATGATGACGACAAGCCAGGCGCCCACACAAATGATGCGGGCGTACTTGGTCTTCACCCACTTCAGGGAGCGGATGGGGTGGCAGATGCCCATGTAGCGGTGAACACTGATACACGTCAGGAAGAGGATGCTGCTGTAGAGGTTAGCGTAGAAGAGGAAGCGCACGATCTTGCAGAGCCATTTCCCGAAGGGCCAGTTGTTGCGGTCGGCATAATAGTAGACCAGGGTGGGGAGGGAGAGGACGTAGAGCGTGTCAGAGACAGCCAGGTTGAACATGTAGGTGGTGGTGGCGTTCCAGGGCCTCATCCTGGAGATGAACATCCACAGGGCCCAGGAGTTGAGGGGCAGCCCCACCACGAAGACTATGCCATAGGAGATGGGCAGCAGGATGAACTTGAACTCCTCGTTGAAGACGCACTTTGCCTCCGCCACCACGGTGGTGTTTTCTTCTGGCCAGGGAGCCGGCGTCGGTGTCCACAGGGCAACTGGGAACGTCCTCACTGAAGTGGCCATGTTCTCCGAGCCAGATCTAGGGGAGCAGTTAATAAAAGTGCATTAGTCGTTGATCCCGACCATTGTCAGGCACAAAGCGTGGAAGGGAGCCAAAGATGCCAGATTTTCCCCCCCTCCAGGAGCTCCGGCCACTTTGATGGTTCTCTGGTTTTTCTCAGCTCGCGCATTCGGGCCTCACGGGGAGCCGAGGGGGACTTGACAAATCCTCCCCTTCACAGCCCCCGCAATGACACCCGTTAATCATCCCTTTGAGCAGCGCGCAGTGACACCAGCACTGCGTGGAGCCGGGAAGCGTGCCTGAGACAGAGGACCGCGCCGGCCCCGCCGGCCAGCAGCCCCACGGCGCGCCGAACAATGAGACCTTTATGAGCAACAGCAGCCCCCGGCCAGTGCCAGCGCAGCCTCTTGGAAGCTGGCTCAGCCTAATTGGCACCATCCTGACAATGCCGCTCGTCCCAGAGGGCTCCTTGACAGAAGAAAGGCGGGAGGAGAAGAAAGGCTTGTCTGGGGGAATATTGTGGCCCGGAGAAATCCTCGGGGGGCTGTTAAAGGAGCCTTTGGGAGAGAGCGTCCCTGGACGGCGAGGGGCCTCCAGCTGCCGGGTATTCTCCGTAGGAGAGGCATGATCTAAGCCCTGCGGAGAGGAGCTGCGCCGGAGCCAAGTCCCAGCCCAAGACAGTGCAAGTTCACAAGGCAAACAGGACGTTTCCCCTCGCACATTGTTAGGATCAAAGGCTGGGAGCCACGTCCTCCTGGCAAATCGGTCCCCAGGGCTGAGGTGCGAGGGCGAGCTGTCAAAGGGTTGCATTCACCTCTCAGGATGCCTGAAGTTCAGAGCCCACTCCTCCAGAGGGAAGAGGGAGCTTCTGCCATCATCGTGGTGTCCAGCAACGGACTGGCGAAGGCTGCCTGCGCCTTGGCCCCTCCACGCCTGCTACCATCCCTGGTGAAGTGATTTCAGAGCGGCCGCTTCTGCTGGCGAGGACAGATGCTCGGATGAGTAACCTGGGAGCAGGAACATCTGCCATGCTGCGGGCAGAGACGAGGGCGTAGCCAAAACCGTATCTGATGGAGGGAGCGCTGGCGTGTCTCCAGTTTCTGTTGGTCCAGAGCTCACCCAGGAGGTGATGGGTGCCAGGACGGAGGAGGACTCGGGGCTCAGGGAGACGACGTGCGTTAGCGGGATGCTGGTGTTGGTGGTACGAGGCAGAAGACTGCATCTTCTCAGGCTCCTTCATCCCTTGGCTCCCTCATCATCCCCCTCCTGTTTGCCCCTTGCCTTTGCCACCGAGATGTGCAGCCTGACCGCTTCTTGTGGCAAGCGCCGTCGGCAGGAATATCCCGTAGGGAGTATCCATGGGGTCAGCTGCGATCCATCTTCTCCCCGCTGAGCCTTACCTGGAGAAACAACCCTGGGTTTACAGAAATGATCATAAATGAATCAGCAGGCAGATGAGCAGGCGGGTGGCCGCAGCACCGGCGTCTCCGTGCCGCACGCACCTCCACACTTTCTGTTTGAGTTGTGGGCTGAGCCGCAGCTTTGGGCTCACATCAAACACCCTGCAGCTTCCTTCCCTCTGCAGCCGGCACAGGCAGCTGCCAGGCTCTGTTACACGGATGAGTTCAGAGAAGAACAGGCAGGTCCTGATCAAACAGTAACAGTGGGAAGAACTTGCTCTGTTTTCCCAGAACCAGGAGGGGGAAACCAGCTGGTAGGAAACCCTGAGCCTCCCAGCACTGGTGCCAGCTGCGGTCCCATGGGGCTGGCTCTGCCGAAGGGAACGTTGTGCTGGTCGTGCTGGTCCCTGCCCAGCGGCTGTGTCTCCCCGAGCCACGACACTGCCGAGGACACGAGGCACCAGGAAATTTGTTTTCCTCTTCCAACCTCTGAGTGCAAGTGAGCATGAAGCCTTGAGCCCGACCAGACCGGAGGTGCCGCAGGGTTCAGTGACCAAAGCTAATGCCCATGACAGAGGTCAACAAACAACTAAGATATGAAGAAGCCAATAAATAAAAAAATAATAATCTGGTGTAAGAAAAGGAATAAGGAAAAAGAGCCCAAGCAGCTGCATTGTGCCGGGCTGCTTGGAGAAGAGCGCAGGTACGTGCCTTCTGCCAGCTGATAAAGCCTGAGCACGGTCAGCACTCAGCATGGTGATTTAACTGTTCCTAAGCAAGCTTCCTTTGGGGATAACCACCAAAAAATAAAAATGCAGAAAAGGTGACATTTGGCAAGCTTTATCTCCACAGGTTTCCTGCTTCCTCATCTTAGTCACGATCAAAATCAGTGTTTTAAATTACTGATTCACACCAGTCCACCCCGAGGACACGTCACCACCAGGCCCATTCCTACTCCTCGCTGACGTCCCCAGCAAGGCTCTCCCTGGCCACAGCCTCTCCAGCGTGGGCTTTTCAAGGAGGGACCGACTGCAGCTGCGGTGAGGTCTGAGCCAAGTGTTTGGGCTTGCTGCTGGAGCGGGAGGTGGGAGGCACTGCAGGGAAAGGACACGGAGCTGGGGAGGTGATGCCCGCTCCTGCCCTGCCCATTTTGTGGATGCACAAGGGCTGCAATGCTGGGGAATCCCTTGCCCATGGCAAGCACATCCCCCTGGGACGGTGCCTGTGGGCTGGCCCCGACATGTGCCTCGGGAAGCAGCGAGGGGTCCTGCAAAACACCCACACAGCCATCCGCCAGCGGAAAGGGGCAGGGGCCGGCCACGGGGCCACGCATCGGGGGGCACGTGCTGCCCTTGGCCCTTCGCCGCAGGAACGGGAGCTCTGCCCTGGCTCCCAGCTTCGCGGCTGTGCCCAGCCTGAACCCATCCTTTTGCCCCCGCGGGCAGCACCGACCCCGGTGGGAGCCGGCGGCCGCCCCCAGCCCGGGGTGCCCCCAGCCCGGGGTGCCCCAGCAGCAGGCTCAGGCTTCCTGCCCTGGGGGTTTACAGGGGCGTTGGAAACCAGTGAAATTAATGAGTGAGGCAGCACCGAAGGCAGACTCTGCTCTGGAGCCAAAGTCCTGCCCGCTGGCAGGACAGGACAGGGGGTTGGGAATCGTGGTGTAAGCAGGCAGGAGCTTTGGAGAGGGGACGTGAGAGCGGATTTCAGAGGGGAGCGAGCAGCCACCGAGGGACGCAGGGCTGGGTGAGCCCGGGACCGGCTGCTGCTGGAGCATGGGAAAAACAGGGCTTTTCTTCTCGCCTAAGCTCTCAGAAATTGCAAAACAAGGGGAAGTTATGCAAAACATCCTGCAGAAGGACCCTTGTCCCTAATTGCCATGTGGTTCATGCAGCCAAAGCCCCGGCACAAGGTGAGCGTGACCTAATTTCTTTTCGATCCCTCTCTTCGGCTGCAAGAGCAGCCAAAGCACTATCTGCCTGTGCTGCCCGGGCGCTGGTGCCTCCTCCCCAGGGATGCCAGCGGGGCCGGGCGCTTCCCTTACTGCCCACCACGTCCCCTGCTCTGAGGTGACCCCCTTTCTCAGCAGGGTGGGAGGTGAGGGTTTCATTTCACCCTTGGGTGGGCTGTCCCTGTCCCTCTCCCTCCACCTCCTCGGAGAAGGGCAGGAGCCTGAAGCTGCGGCAGCCCAAGGGGCAGCTTCACCCTGCGAGGAGGCAGCGATTTGGGGGATGGAGAGGAAGACGAAGAAGAGGAGGTGGCCACACCAGGAAGGATGAAGGCCCTTGGTGATGAAGGAAGGTAGTGGCACGTTAGGGAGGAGGACGCACGGAGGGATTTGGGGATGGTGGAGGGATGGGGAGAACTGGCTGACCCCCACCCCACACACATCCAGCCCCGGGGATCCCACCTCTGTCCCTCGTGGGGTCAAAGCTGCTCCCCACAGGGCCCCCCAAAGCCCGGCTGGGTTTGCATGGCCGTGTCACGGCCATGGTGGGGCTGTCCTGGCTGCTGCCCTCCACCAGGCACGGGCTGCCCGGGCTCACCTGCGATCCTGGGATGGGGCAGCTCTCAGGAGCGGGGCACCCCCGGGGAGCGCCTGTCCCCCGTGGGGCTGGGAGCCATGCTGGTGGGGCTGCGGGCTGCCCTTCACCGTGCTGTGCCGTCTGTGCCCGCTCCCGCTCTCCCACCGCTGGGAGCAAAGTGCCCGGGAGAGGCAGGGCTGGAGGCGGGCGGAGGCGGGGGCAGGAG